GTGTGTGTGTGTGTGTGTGTGTGTGTGTGTGTGTGTGTGTGTGTGTTTAGGTCTTGCATTATCTGGCCATGCAGAAGCCTGGTGACCTGGCTCGTCATTTACTCCCCTGTTTGCTCCACGCTGCTATTCAGAAGCTGAAGGAGGAAGGTGAGTCCTTATTTTCAGTTTGCTTCTAATAAGCCCTATTCTGATGGGATTAGTTTTACCTAGGGACCCCATGTAATAAATAAATTACCCCCCGATGTCTGTGTTTTATGTGGCGCATTTGCACGGGATAACAAAAGCCTGAGATTTTCCTGAAATTTACAGACATCTCCCGAATGTGACATTGAAGCCTGGTTAGTTGTTGTCTGTTGAACACGGCGTTGAACGGACGTTAAAAAAACAAACATAAACATCAAGTACTCCACTTTTTCCGCTCTCCTTTCCTCCTGCTTACAGCAGGCACTGTCATCTCCACGGCCGACAGACCCCCACCCCATCCCCACGCGCGGGTACGAGTGGTACGGACTTTTAGCAAAAAGTATAGATTTTTGAAGCTCATTAGGTAAACGTCCAAAGGGGTTGACATATGAACACTTTCACAGCTGGTGAGAGTGCGCGTGCCAGCTACCCAAAGTGCGCGCCTGCTGCGCTACGGCCAGAGCTCAACATTCAACATCAGCCAGAAGACTACAAACAGAAAAAAAAAATTCTTACCATACAGTGAGCCACCATTTGCATCTGATTTTGCTCCCTCTCTTCAGACTTTTTTTAAAAAAAAATATTTTTTTTAATGGCGTGTAACGTGTCGGGTTTTTACGGCCCGGGACCGAAAAGGTTTTCAGTGCACTCCAATCCAGCCTCCATTCTTCACCAACAGTAAATAAAAACGCACCAAGAAAACCAAAACCGCCTAATTACTATAGAATTCAGTCCATTCTTGTCCAAATCACAGAGATGCCTATTCACATTGGATTAGTATTATCACAGGACCTCGGAGTTCAGCGAATTATGGTAGGTAACTTGCGGGGGAATTTTTACTTTACAAATTACTGACATGGCCGATTCTCATGAGATTAACAACACAGACAATCTCTGTAATTATTACAAATAGCATGGGGTCCCTAGGTAAAACTAATCCCGTCAGAATAGGGCTTTTGTCACGACGAATGATCAGCCTGATTTCTGTTGTGTAATAAATGGTTGATGTGATAACTTATTAAAGCAACAACAGGCTGAGACGTTGCAGCACAGGTTTCTTCCTGCCTAGGATTCATCCGTGCTCTCTCCATCCAGGAGTTTTTGATCATTTCACTATCTATGTCTAAAAGAGTCACAGATATGGACCTACAGTTAGGTCCAAATCTATTTAGACAGAGACAACATTTTTCTAATTTTGGTTGTGTACCACAATGAATTTAGAACTGAACATTTCATCTGTTGTCAGATTATTTTTTCAGTCTGTGTTGTTCATGTCTGCTTTCTGTTTTCTTTATAACAGAATCTAAAGGGATCACCACATCTGTAGAGAAAAACATTCAGCATGCAGTGAGTCAAGTCAACAAGCTCCTGCACAGTGTCAACTACGACTACAAGAAGTTAGAGGTCAGTGATTGTTGAAGGAATGAACAGCTAATATCTTACCTGTTGGAGGTAACGCTTTGAGTGAGTGAGTTTGGAGGAAAAAACTGAAAGAAGCAACAACAAAGAGGATTGCTTTTACCTTAAATCATCCCATTGTTTTATAAGTCTTTACATTTCTACCAGATTCACATTACCGTATTTTTCGGACTATAAGCCGCACCGGACTATAAGCCGCACCCGCCATTTTTTAAAAAAAACGCGCGAATATAAACATATAAGCCGCACAGGACTATAAGCCGCACCCGCCATTTTTTAAAAAAAACGCGCGAATATAAACATATAAGCCGCACAGGACTATAAGCCGCACCCCCCACCCCCCATCAGTAAAAACAAAAACAAAACAGTACACCCAAAATTGTGGTCAATAATAATAATAATAATAATAATAATAATAATA